GAAAACAAACAAGCATGCCTTACTTATTTGAAAAAGATACCCCCAGCACTGCATATATATATATATATATATACACACATACAGTATATATATATATATATATATATATATAGGGCTGGGCAAGTTAATGCATTATCGCGTTTTTTTATTATTATGAAAGTGCGTTGCTCACTGGCTCTGAATACACATACAGACAAACCATGGGTCACAGGAGGGGTGTGATGTTGATCAGTACTGGCTTGGGATGGGTGTCATCACGCGTCTCATCCAATGAGAGCATTTGGGGAGGGCCTAAGACAACAGCGCTCACATGAAAATTATTTAGGCTAAGCATCAACATTCACAAGCCACTGTTCACTGTTATTTTTAACAGAAAAGAATGCAATGAGCTCGTAATAACGACTTCATAATTGGGAAATAGGAAGTTTCCGACAGCACGTGAAGACAGGAGAGAAGCGCTCAGCACAGTGCAGTGCATCGTTTTGTTAACTTTGTGGTTTATTATTTTGAGTCGTTTGGGACGCGGTAACACACAGCCCTCTCACGATATATTGCTTTACAGATCTATCACTCTTGCTGCTCAGAAATGTAACGCGCAATCATGCTGCACGCATCAGAAGTTCTGCGCTCCGGCACTACATGCATGCCGCGCCCGAGCCCAACTGAACCACGCTCTGGCCCACCTCTTCAGACCGAGCCAGGGCCGGCTAAATGAACCGTGCCCGAGCGTGGCACGGAGCGATCACACTAGTCAAACGAACCGGGCTTTGGGGGTTAAACACGCTCCGGAACGGTTAATATTGCCTAGTGTGAGTACACACTTTTATTCTCCCGCCCGCACCCACACTCGCACATCAAGTGTTGTCCTACGCCGCACTCTGCTGCATTGGGTCCCGCGATAGTGCAGGTCTCTAAGGTGCCTGTTATAATGTTATGATGGAAGCTCTGGACTCGGAGCATAACATGTTTTTCTATAACAAACTATCAAATATTTTCTATAAAAACGTTAATGCCCTGGCAGTGGCAAATAGCTTTGGTTTTATATTTAATGTGATTACATTAATGTTATAAGTTAAGATTTACAAGAAATATTTTGACTGCTACTCTGTAAAAGGAACACTGCTGTAAAAAAGCACCTTATTTGTATTTGTACGTTTTTGCAAACCAAATGTTATTGCACTTTTGTTCATATAGCAGTACTTTTAAATGAAAAAAGTGCACAATACACTACTTTTAAATTCATTATTGAATTTTGTGCATAACAATGCGATTAATCGCGATTTGAAAAAATCGTTGCCCAGCACTTATATATATATATATATATATATATATAAATATGGTGCCTTGCGAAAGTATTCATACCCGTACTTTTTTTACATTTTGTTATGTTACAGCCTTATGTTAAACTGCTTTATTCCATGGTCTGTCTGAATACTGGATTCTGATTGGCGGGCAGGTATGCAGTAAAACCGTTTAATGCACAGGTAGTTTCAAGTCAGTTTAATCACCATTCTATATTAATGCGCTGCTTTAATTGAAGCACACAATCCCACATTCATCACTCGCACACACACACATAAGCACACACACAGAGAGCAAGAGCGGGAGTCAGAGATCGCACATAAACTTGTTGTCAACGCTTAACCAAGATTTTTATGAATAAAATAGCCTAGATACTAGATCGCTACATTATATTCCTCAGCAACGAGGTCTAAAATCGCTGTTTTTGAAGTAGCCTAATTAACTAAGTAGAGAGATACATGCAGATGCAGCATGCAGGTAATGCACATACAACTGTCATCTCTCTCTCTCTCTCTCGATCGATAATTCATTCAAATAAATGCGATTTTACCGCACTATTTCATCTCTGTGTCCGATTTACCCTTCCGGTCAAATATTGTGCTGCAAAGATCAGTACTAGTTTTAGCTTGTCTATAACTTGGCAAATGACCATGGAATATGCAGGATAATCAATGGCTTGCCGTGCATTAAAGGATTTTAAATGCACTTCGCGTCGGGTGGTTCTTTGCCTCCACGTCGTGCATTTAAAATCCTTTAATGCACGGCAAACCGTTGATTATCCCTTACTTAAATTACTTTTTCCCCACATCAATCTACACTCCATACACCATAATAAAGCACAAAACAGGTTTGTAACAACTTTGCAAATTTATTAGAAAAAAAAAATTTGAATGATTCAATTGTATTCTGGGGCAATTAAATTGAGCTCAGGAGCATTCATATCGCTTGTAGATGTTAACATCTGACAGGAAACATACTGGAGACATATTGAACATGGGCATACACTCTAAAAATGTGTCTTCCAGATGTAAACACAAATCAAATAGACATCTCTGACGTGTGTGTGCTACTAATCATGCAAAAAAAAAAACACGCTAGAAACATGATAAAAAATATTTTTTCCAGTTTTGCCAAGCCAACATCAAAGTTTGTCTTCAAGCCTTATCTGTCTAGTTTATATGCTATTGTAGTGTTTATTAATATTTTGATTGTATTTTCATTTTATATTTTAATTTTAGTTTAGTTTTAGTAACTTTATGTGCTTTTGCTATTTTCATTAGTTTCTGATTTTTAAATATTTCTATTTAGCTTTCATTTTATTTCAGTTTTAGCTTTAGCACTTCAACTTAACTTTCTGATTTTCATTTAAGTTTCAGTTTGCCTTTTCACATCTAGTTTTTGTATTCAATTTTATTTCTGCTTTATTTAAGTTACCGAACTTAACCTAAATATTTTCAATAGTTGTGGTTAACAATAGCAATACTTTCACAGACAAAAAAATATACATATGTTTCAGGAATGGTCACATTCCATGCATTTGAAAATGCAATAAAGGTTACCTCTTCACCTGTTAATCCACAGTACAGCAAGCACCTGTTTGTCCACATCGCCCAGACTAACCCCTCATACACAGACCCTCTCCTGGAGGCCGTGGACATCCGTCAGATCTACGACAAGTTTCCAGAGAGGAAGGGAGGGCTGAAGGAGCTGTATGAGAAAGGCCCTCAGAACGCCTTCTTTCTGGTCAAATTCTGGGTGGGTTTTTACAAATGCACGCTGATCATTGACAATGTTGTTCCACTGAAAATACAGTAAATATTATAAGTCTGAAAAGTATGAGATACCAATTTAGTCTTAGATGTTGGTCTACTGTATGTGACACATTTTCAAACAGGTTTTTCCTGTAATGTCTCTCAGGCTGATCTGAACAGCAGTAATGTTCAGGATGGCGCAGGCTCGTTCTATGGGGTCAGCAGTCAGTACAGCAGCGCTGAAAACATGAGCATCACTGTCTCCACTAAAGTCTGTTCTTTTGGGAAACAGGTGGTAGAGAAAGTCGAGGTGAGTTCTAATTATTCATAGCTGTGTTTTTGTCATCTACCGTACATGGACAGTACTGACAATATAGTTTCATGCAGAAAACCAGCTTCTATACTTTGACTTTTTGACCCCTAGACGGAGTATGCGCGTGTTGAGGGCGGGAGGTACGTTTACCGGATCCATCGCTCACCCATGTGTGAATACATGATCAACTTCATCCATAAACTCAAACACCTGCCAGAGAAATACATGATGAACAGCGTCCTGGAGAACTTCACTATACTGCAGGTAAGAGAATGAGAAAACAGGACCAATTTGTGAACTGGCCAAATGCGCCAAAGGATGTTGAATCAGAATGACAGGAAAAGGAATTTACCTAATTACTTTTAATAGAGGGACTGACTAGTGCCTATTTATTTCATTCAAAAATTTCTTTTAAAATCTGCATACAATTTTCATATATTTTGGGTCCTGAAGAATCGTTGTTTTATAAAATAGTCATAAGTTAATATGTTTCAACTAAAACCATAATGTATCTGATCAGCAACTTCTAAATGTGAAAAAAATCTAAGTTTTTAATGTTACCATGTTATTACTGCATTTGCCATTTTTTGATTAATTAAAATGGAGAAATTCTTTGAAACTTAAAATCACACATGAGTCGTACCAAAATGATGAGATATATTTCAATAATGATGAGAAATCTTATTTAAATATATAATTGAATGAAATTTATATAATCTGAGAATTACCAGTATTAACCCTTTTGTAATGAATAGAATTTGATTAAATTGATTTGAATTTATACCTGATGATTGTTAAAAACATTCCACATTTATGAAACCTACATATTTATTTCTACAAGACAACATAAATATTACTCTGAAAAGTTTTCAAACAAAGTAAATCCATTTTGCTTGCTCAACTTTCACTTTTAGATGAAAAATATGATACATTTTTGATGCTACAGTGATTCATTAATAGGCATACATATTCATGTTTATTAACAAAAATCAGTATGTAAGATATGGGGAAAGGATTTTTTGACACTAATATAACAAAACATTTTTTGGACATTAATACAGCTTCATAGATCATTTTATAAAAAGTATTTTTGGCAGCTAATGGTACTCCATACATACCCAGGTCCTGTTTATTTTTATCATTACTATTTTTTAAATGGCTATATTTCTTAAAAATAATTGTAAAAAATCTGAGGGAAAAAAAAGTATTTTAAGGGCACATGCAAAGTTTCATTCCCTTATTAAAGGGGTGGTTCATTGCGATTTCCCCTTTTTTAATGTTAGTTAGTGTGTAATGTTGCTGTTTGAGCATAAACAATATCTGCAAAGTTACGAAGCTGAAAGTTCAATGCAAACGGAGATATTTTTCTTTTAAATTCAGTCTTTTAAAATTCTGGCAGTTTAATGCCTACAAAAACGGCTGGTAGGGACTACAACAAGTTACTTCCCGGGTTCATCAGCCCGTTTCTCAGAGAAGGGGCAGAGCGGTGTGGAATAAAGGTAAATTATGTGAAAAATAATGAGTTTAAAAAAAAAATGAAGCATTAACACATGTTAGACTACACCCCATAAACACAGTCAAGCCTAGAAAAAAACCAGTGAACCACCCCTTTAAATTATGCAGTGTTTAGACATTTTTATGTCTACTGGGTCAAAGCAGACCTGAATGCATTATTAGAGTCAAGAAATTAATACTTTTATTCAACAAGGGTGCATTAAATTGATAAAAAACTGACAGTAAAGACATATATTTATGTATTGATGTTTGTCTCATTTTAAAGATTGTAGGATAAATTAAAGCATTCTTGGATATTATATGTTTTTATTCATATGTTTACTAAAAATCAGAAAAGATTTCACTGGAAAAAAAAATACAATAGGGGGATGTTTTTACAATTATAGGCCTTGCTAAAAAATATTAACGACAGAAGGCATGTAATAGGTTGTATATGACAGGTTTTTCAGCAATGTTTTGATCATGTTGTTCATTTAGTATCCTAATGATTTTTGGCATAAAAGAAAAAGCTATAATTTTGACCCATATAATGTATGTTTGGCTATTGCTACAAATATACCCCAGCGACTTAAGACTGGTTTTGTGCTCCAGGGTCACATATAGTCAAAATAAGGATGTGTTTCCAAACTTATGTCATTAAGCTCATCCAACATGAAAGTTTACTATGCTATGCTTTCTTTGGAATTAGTGTTATTCTACTGTTCTGTTACACTTTTCCCTGATGTGTTTTTCTCCCCCTCAGGTTGTCACAAACAGAGACACACAAGAGACTTTGCTTTGCATTGCGTTCGTGTTTGAGGTGTCCACAAGCGACCACGGAGCACAGTATCACGTTTACAGACTCGTCAAGGACTGAACAACCAGCTGTGCCCAAACACCTCCAGACGCCGTTCATCCAATGCGTACCAACAAAGTGAGGAGAAGAAAATTAGACAAACCTGAAGCTCATGAACACAATCATGGACAAAACACAAACCGGGATCCTCTGCACTAGGTTGTGCTGTATATGTAGATGTGTTCCTTAAAAGCAACGGAAATGTACTTTCAGGGATAATTCTGTTTCTTATTGTTTTGTGGAGGAGAGGTCTTGAATGTCTGTGGTGGGTGAACTCTGTCACGTTTATGGTACTAGACTCTGAAGGCACGAAGGTCTTTTTAAAAGCCATTGTAAGCGAATAGGAAAGGAATTCTGGTCGATACGAGTCTTTCTCTAATCAGGAACGTTGCGATAGTGTATGTTTGTCTTTCATTTAGAAGCAGCAGCTTGCTACCTCTGACCTTTGACAGATCGCGGGCTCAGATTGTGCTCAGAACGATGTGCAAGTCTTGTTTTGTGTAGGAAGGAAACCTTGAATGTTAGTTGTGATGGGAAGCGCAAGTTGCAAGAAGTCCAGGGTTCATGTTCCATGAATGTCACACACTTTAGCAAGTTCTACTCTCGATTTGGCTTGATTTTTGTTGTTTTGGAAAGTTTGCAAATGTGTGAGCTATTTCTACCTCCTGGTGTTACGTGGATATGTACGGAAGCCTGTATTTGCCACGGAATAAAAAACATAATTGCGAGTTTTTATCTCACAACTTCTAGCAAATATTCTGGTGATTCTGTGTTCACATCTCACAATTTGGACTTTGTTTCTTGTAATTCTGAGAGGAAACAAATCTGATTTTTTTAAGATATAAGCTCAGAATTGCAAGATTCTGGCTTTTTTTCTCACAATTCCGATGTTAACTCACAATTGCTAGTTTATAACTAGATATAAACTCGTAATTGGGAAGAGAAAGGCCAGCAATTGTGAGAAAAACACAATTGTCAAATTAAAAACTCGCAATTACCTCTTTTTTGCTCTGTAGCAGAAAACTGGATTTTGAGATGTAAACTCCCATTTCTACGAGAAAATGTCAGAATTGCAAAATATAAACAAAATTATGAGATGTATAATTGGAATTGAGAAAATTCTGAGTTTATATCTCGCGATTATGTTCATGTCTCAGAATTCTGGCTTTTTCTCAGAATTTCTAGAAAAAAAAAGAAAAAGTCAGATTTGCAAGATAAATAGTCGCAATTACCTTTTTTTCTTTTTTTAGTAGCAGAAAACAAAAACAATTGCGAGATGTAAACTCAGAATTGTGAGATGTAAATTTGAAATTGTGAGGGGAAAAAAGTCAGAACTCTGAGATAAAAAAGTTACAATTAGCTTTTCTTTTTTCTTTCTTTAAATTATTCTGTGGTGAAAAGGGGCTTCCGTGGATATGCAAAGTGCGTTTTTAAAGCAGAGTTTTGATTTAAAACTATTTTTTCCATAATGATTATTGTAAATATGCATGGTTTTACTCGATTGCCCTCATTTTGAGTGCCTTATCACTTTTGTGCCATACTGGCGAGTGAGCAGAAAAATTCAATAGATCAGGTAACACTGTTTAAAACAGAGGGCAAAGCTGATATTGCATAATGGGGTTACAGCGGGACAAAACAGATCTCAGCATGTAACACTTGGTTTTGATTTCTCAGTGTTTTTAATCAATGAACTACATGCTAAATAATTACATCATCACCAAAGCAATTACACTTAACTGGGTGCTTGAGTATTTTCCTAATAAAAACATTGTGTTTTAAAAGAAAGAAAAAGTAAAAAAAAAAAACATTGTATTTTAATATAAAATTGAAATATTTCAGTTGCTCTCTCTATTTTTGGAGTGTGGTGAGGTGTGGCAGTGGTCAACAGAAGATTTTGAACAGCACAAAGTGAAATTAGCTGTTAATTCCATATCAAAATGTGCAATAAGATCCGGACTATACACTAATTCTCAGGTTCTTTCCGTAATGTAGAAACACTCTAGGTTTATAATGTCAGTATATACAGTACGCGGAGTCATGGATTCATTACTCTTTTTACGTTTATTCTTCCACACATGGCATCCTTCTTGGTGTTGATAGTTTTTTAGTTTTTTAACCCACTTTCACCTGCGCTGGTTAGTACATATGATTTTAAATGTCAGACATAATCAGTGACGTTTAACTGTAGTCAGCTGATTATTTATGGCATCATATATTGGTACATGTATATACATTTGTCCAATACATTATGGAAAACACTTGTTGATGTTCCATAAACAACTGAGTTGTACATTCTCCTTTTGGATTTTTTTTTTGTGTGTGAAGGTTTTTAGACTAATCTGTAATATCTTAACCAAAGAATCGAATGTGAACATCATCCCAGTCTTGCCTTATTGTGTGTTTCAGGTCTTCTGTGACATTTTAAGAGAAAAACCATGCTTCTGGATGAGTGTGTGTGTGTGTACGCGTTTTTGTGACAAATGAGGACATAAATTTGTATAATGACAAAGGTATGACATAGGTATTACAAAGAGAAGGTGAATTTTCAGGACATTACCCCATGTCCCCGCTTTTCAAAATGCTTATAAATCACACAGAATGGAGTGTATTGCAAATCTGAAATAGCACAAAGTCTCCTGTGAGGGGTAGGTTTAGGGGTAGGGTTGGTGTAGGGCAATAGAATATACGGTCTGTACAGTATAAAAACCATTACGCCTATGGAATGTCCCCACTTTTCACAAAAACAAACCTGTGTGTGTGTGTACTACAAATTCTACAAATTGTTTTGTGTATATTTTAAGAATGTTAGAGGAAAAAGGTTTTTATGTCTATTCTTTTTTCATTGTTATTTTTTGTTTTGCTTTGTTTGTTCCAGTATAATTCTTGTTCTGGTTCAAATTAAATAATGGTTGTAACATCTACAATGTTTCGTGTTTTTGCCCATTAAAGTGACTTTCGACCCCTGGAAGCTAGAACATCCCAAAATTGCTTTTGTTGTCGTACAGTATAAACAAAAGAAACACACACACAGATGTTTGTTTCTGTGAATTGTGGGGACTTCCAAAGACTTCTATTACTTTTATACTGACCAAACCATATTTCCTATCCCCTAACCCTAAACCTACACCTTATAGAAAACCTGTTTGCATTGTCACACTTTCAGATAAACATAATTGACTATTTTTAATCTTTTTTTCCCCCCCCTCGTGGGGACTGCAGGCCGGTCCCCACAATGTCAACATTTTCAGGTTTTACTATTGTTGTGGGGACATTTGGTCCCCCCCCCTTCCACACACACTTTTTACATTTTAATGTGATAATATCATTAGGATAATTAGGCAACAGCTGTGACTGTATAGGGTCACATTTAACGGCATTTATTAATGATATAATGTACAATAAAAAAAATGTTCCCAAATAAAATAAATTATTTAGCATCACTAAATCAACCCAAATGCATGCATTTATACCAACAAAAGTAGAAGTAGTAGTAGTATTTTTATGGGTTAAAGCAGGTAAAAATTGCTCTGTAAGGTAACCATTGCAGGTTGGTGTATCACAATTAAATGCACATAGAGTAAATGTGAAGTTTAAAGAGGATTATTGATTACATCTGTGATCAGTTTATAGGTTATTGGTTCCTCATCAAAAGACAGCTCCTCAATGATGTAATTTTCCAGGAAATAAAATAGTTTTTGTTGATAAATAAAAGAAACGGTACATCAAGACGCATTATGAGATGAATTACTCCAATCAAATCCTTACTGAGTGATGCCTAACTTTATCTATTTGTTTCCATCCCTTTAATTCCCATACTTTTGTGTAAATAATTCATTTAAACCATTATTATCATTTTAATATGTTTATCAAATTAATAATGTTAACTGTCTGAGCTGGACCAGAACAAATTTATGAAAATCTGCTTCTACTTTTATATAAATACGTACTCTAATGTAAGCATATTGTTTTTACACTGACAAGAGTTCAGAAAGTACAACACCAAACAGAAATATCTTTAAATAACCCCTTAAACGAATAATTCATATGCATAATAATATTATACATAATATAATAATACATGATCATGGTTATTATTTAAGCTATTCATTATTAGCTATTTTTTTTACTGTGTTTACTGCAGTTATCAAACCCTCACATGGGAAAATGTGTGGGATTAAATGAGTTAACTACATTGCCCACAATGCACTCGGGTGTTTCTCTACAGTACGCGCATGCGCTGCACTGTGCTGTGTAATGTTAGGTGATACAGTGGAGACAGTGGGGGTCATCTGACGGGACGATGATGGTTATCGATCAGTCAGTGAGAGAATCCTGTCCCGGAACGCACGCGGAGCATCGATTTGAGCGCCAGTCGCATGCAGGTATTTACATGACTAAAAAAAAAAAAACTATAAAGTATGCCTGAGCCCTTTTTGCTAAGCTGTTAGTTAATGTAGATCAAAATAATTCTTACTGTTAATGCAAATCGTTTGAATGAATGAATAAACAGCAGGGTTTCACATGTCCCTGAGTTTGGCTGCTTTGTGGATTAGTTTGAAGCTCCGCCTCCAGAACCAGCGGACTCTAAAGCGCTCGCCGCGCTCTGACTGACGGACTGACCGGAGCCCGAGCCGCGCCGCGCCGCGCCATGGCAACAGAGCGGCCCTCCAACCTGCGCGTCTTCTCTCTCAACTGCTGGTGAGCTCAGACGATGCTTCCGCCTCAAAGCGTGTTTGTGTTGGGAGCGCTCCGAAACGATGTCAGCTGCTTTTAATGGGGGAGAAATGCAGCTCGCTGTGTTTATTTATCGAGTTAATTATGCATGGATCTAATTATGAATATTTTATGGGTTTGCTGCACACGTCTAAGTGTAAAATACAGTCGATAATATAGTCGTTTTATTAGATAAATGAACATTTTTTATTCATTTTTGAGCTTTAGCCAAATAATTGTGTCTAATTCTAGCATATTTCATTATCCTGCATTACCCCTCTGGGGTCTGAGGGTGTTTTAGGGCTCTGGAGAAGTTTCGACATCCCCTGACATTTGTGTATCTTTGGTGATTTATTTTTTTTGTGTGCCTATAATTCCGTACTATTCAACTAGAATAGTACATTAGAAAATTGTTGAAGACTTTATGAATGTAGCATACACAGTAGTGTTGCAATGTGTGTGTTTTTGAATATTTCCCTTCTTTTTTTGTATTTTTTCATATATATATATATATATATAGTTTTGATTAATTTTTATTTCAATTTTAGTTTAGTACATCAAGTTACAGTACATGAAAGTGAAAAATGGTAGCTTGGCAAATAGCTTTTTTATATTATTTCAACTAACAATTGTTTTTATGGTTTTATTTGTAGTTAACAGTAACAGCCCTGAAATATTTAATTTTAAAATAGCGGTTTCCAGGCCTTCAAATGGCACAAAAAAGAATCAAATCTTCATAAATAATGGACACTTTTTGAATGGAATGTATTATTTTTATTATTAGTAGTATTAGTAGTAGTAGTAGTAGTAGTAGTAGTAGTAGTAGTATATGGCTTAGCACCAACATTTTGTTTTGCTAGAAACTGCTCGCTATTTTATAACTATTATATAACCTTATACTCTTAAGACATGTGTTCAGAGAATAGAAAACCTTTGCATTGAATGCAACTAGAAATCTAGTCTAGATATATACCCTTTAGATATATTTGACATAAATATATTAGAAAGTTCTCAAAAAGTGTGTGTGTGTGTACGCGTTTTTGTGACAAATGAGGACATAAATTTGTATAATGACAAAGGTATGACATAGGTATTACAAGGAGAAGGTGACTTTTCAGGACATTACCCCATGTCCCCGCTTTTCAAAACGCTTATAAATCACACAGAATGGAGTGTATTGCAAATCTGAAATAGCACAAAGTCTCCTGTAAGGGGTAGGTTTAGGGGTAGGGTTGGTGTAGGGCAATAGAATATACAGTCTGTACAGTATAAAAACCATTACGCCTATGGGATGTCCCCACTTTTCACAAAAGTAAACCTGTGTGTGTGAGTGTGTGTATATATATATATATACAGTATGAAGGGGAAAACACATGAGCAGACAGGCTGACACACATGACATGCAGTGTGGGCCTCCCGCTCTGCTGATGCCAACACTGTCAGCACCATGTTCCAGAACAAGACACAATACTGCAGACTGTGATTGTAGCTGAGACAGAAAATGTGGTTTTTAATACTTCCCCTGATTTAGATGACACAGCAGATTATTAAAGCATCCATGTGATGGAGCTGTGAAATGATGAAGTCAGCTGTGTTATTATGTGAAGCATAATGACTGCATATGTGTATACAATAAATGCTGTTGGGGTTTTGTATGTGGGCAGACCGCAAGACAATAGTGACTATGGTTTTGTGTTTTTCAGGGGAATTCGGTTCTTCAGTCAACTCTGTACACAGCGGTATGAGATGATCGGAGAATTACTGGGCCGAGAGCAGCACGACATCGCCCTGTTACAGGAAGTGGGTTTTACTCTACACTTTAACCCCTTTATCCTCTGACTGTCTTTAGGGATTAATTCAGTGCCCTTGTGGCTTTAGCACTTCATTTTGCTTCATTTCCCTGATGGACGAATAACACTGTGTCCTAAACAGATATGTGGTTGTGGCTGATTATAACGTTTGGAGTCGATTAAGTGTTTAATGTTTTTGAAAGAAGTCTCTTATATTCAACCAGACTGCATTTATTCGATCAAAAAATTCAGTAATATTGCAAAAAAAATATGACTATTTAAAATAACTGTTTACTTTTTGAATATGTTTGTAAATGTAATTTATTCCAGTGATGCAAAGCTGAATTTTCAGCATCATTTCTCCAGTCTTCAGTGTCACATGATCCTTCAGAAATCATAATAATATGCTGATTTGGTTTTTGCTGCTTAATAATTTTATGGAACGCGTAATACACTACCAGTCAAAGTTTTGGGCTAAGTAAAATAAATAAATAATAATAAAAATAATAATAATTAATGCATGTATTCAGTGAGGATGCAATTAATTGAACAAAAATACACATATAATGTTACAAAATATTCTATTTAAAATAAATGCTAGTCAGTGAATCCCGAATAAAATGTATCACAGTTTCCAATATTTTTTGTTTTTTTACAAATAAATGCAGTCTTTATAAGAGATTTCATTATAAAGCAATAAAAACCTTTTTTTTTATGTCTTTATAAATTTACTATGCTAGCTAGACATACACATAAACATAATTTTTACTGATCTAAGTATATTTCTCATTGTTCTAGGTATGGAGTGAAAGAGATTTCCTTTTCCTGAAGAGAAAGCTGTCCTCCTCTCATCCTTATACTCACTATTTCAAGAGGTCAGTTCAACTCGCTGTGACACGAGGGACTTTGAAAGTCGCTTTGTACTTCAAAGCCATTGGGATTTTGAAAGAGAGACTTTGAAACCTTCTGATCAGCGATCAAGCGGTTAGACGCTCTCACACATTCCAGAGAGAAAAAGGCAGGAAATAAAATCCCTACTAAGAGTAGAGTTCACCCAAAACTAAAAAAAATCCAGTCATCATTTACTCACCCTTGTGTCGTTCCAACCCCGTATGATTTTTTTCTTCTGTGGAAACGCAAAAGGAGAAATTTTGAAGCCCATAATAGCATTCTGTCAGGAACAGACCAACATTTAAGTTGTTATTTACTAAAAATGTGTGTCACGTTTGGCAACAAGACACAAAAGAACTAAAGTCGTTTGGTGTCCCTTCATCACTGCTTCCATTGTATGGAAAAGAGCAGGTTGGACATTCTTCAAAAGTTCTCCTTTTGTGTTTCATGGAAGAAAGCATATGGTTTTGGAGCAACTTGAATAAGTGAATAAATTAAGACTTTTAAAATTACTTTTGGGTGAACTATCCCTTTAAGAAGCTCAAAAAAAATCTTCTTTTGAGACATTTGTTTGAATATTCCATCATATTCTGAGTCTTCAAAAGTGACCTTTATATCTTATCCTTATCTTTATGAGACAAGAAAAAGAAGCATTGCAATCAATAAAGCTGATTTGGCAGAATTTGTAATCATCTCACTTATCAAAGAAGCAGTAGTATCTACAGTTAACACGTCAACACACTTAGACTCCCCCCAAAGCGTGACGGGAATTAGAAGCTTTTGGATTTTCACATTATTGGTGGTATCGGCTATTACTATTGCAAATCCTTAACCCACATTTTCACTATTGTTTTTTTACGCAACCTTTACGCTCTGCTTATTCACCATGGTACAATGAATAATTAAGGGATGTATTAAAGGACTATTTAACCAAAAATGCTGAAAATGTACCCTCAGGCCATCCAGGATTTAGATGAGTTTGTTTCTTCATCAGAACAGATTTGGAGAAATTGATCATTGCATCACTTGATCACCAATGGATGCTCTGCAGTGAATGGGTGCCGTCAGAATGAGAGTCCAAACAGCTGATAAAAACATCACAGTAATCCACAAGCAATCCACACCACTCCAGTCCATCAGTTAATGTCTTGTGAAAAGCTGCATGCTTGCAATAAATAAATCCATCATTGGTGAGAAAGTGATCCATTGGTGAGCAAGTGATGTAAATCTCTTTAGATGAAGAAACAAACTCATCTACCTCTTGGATGGTTTGAGGGTGAGAACATTTTCATTTTTTGGTGAACTATTCCTTTATTATATCTGCACAAAACAAATGACTGCCAATATGTTCAAAAGAAAGGAAAGTACACTCTTAAAAATAAAGGTGCTTCAAAACCATTTTTGGTTCCACAAAGAACCATTCAGTCAAATGTTCTTTAAAGAACCATCTCTTTCTTACCTTTTTATAACCTGAAGAACCTTCTTTAGCCACAAAGAAGCTTTTGTGAAACAGAAAGGTTCTTCAGATGTTAAAGGTTCTTTATGGAACCATCTATCTTCTTCTATGGCATCGTGAAGCACCTTTATTTTTAAGAGTGTAAGTCTTCTAGGGGTAATCAACATAGATAATAACCCTAGACTTAAGTGTGTAGTTGTGAGTCAAACAAAAGGTTTTTGTCTTCAGTCTCCCTAGTAATACTAGAAAAGTAAGAGCAGCTGTGTGATTGCTGCCGTATATACAGCAAGAGATACCTAAAGACAAATGTTATTTTGTAGCTGTATGTTCTGGTATGTTTTGACAGTGGAGTCATTGGCAGTGGGCTTGCTGTGTTCTCCAGACACAGAATCCAGGACGCTCTGCTCTACCAGTACTCTCTCAACGGCTACCCATATATGGTAAGCTATGTCTGTGTACTTAATTCTGATTGGTCAATCTGCCCTCAAATGTTTTGTATAATGTCACTAAGCTATATAATTTATAATTTATTTATTTGTGTCCCAGTTCTCCTAAATAGCGCTGCTAGTTTCATAATAATTGTTTCATACTATTTCTCTCATATCACTCCGGAGTTACTTTCTTCTCACATAATGTAAACTCAAATTTATATTTCATTTCAATTTATTTATTTATTTATCTATTAATCTCTATGTAATAAGTCTGCGAATTGCGATTCTGATTATATATATTGCTGTCATGACAACTCTCGGAGGGATTTGGCATGATAATGTACATGACAATGTTAATGTATTTGGTCTTGGTGGAACAGATCTGCTTGCTAGACCGAGACTTGCTACTGCCAATACACAACATGCTGCTGTGAGCATGTAAGAAATATTGCTGCTGCAAATATAACATATATTAAATAACCCCCATATAGCATATATGAATCACCTCGTAGCAGATCTATACAGGTGGAGCTGGGGAAGGTGGAGGGTTTCTGAAGCAATCTGCAGCTGCTACGGCAAGCACTAGTCACATATTTGAATGTTGAGCAGCTCGCTCATTGGCTACCGATACAGGAGAGAACCAATCAGCTGTGCCATGAGATAATGATGTCATTAGGTCAGATTGAGTTAGACCTATCGGACTGCGCCATCTAGAGTTTCATGCCACAAGTCTATATATACACTGTATATATATATATATATATAAATATAATTATTGTTGAAACATTAAATATTTTAATATTTGAAATATATTAAATACATTACATATTATTTCATATTAATGAAATTAAAATGCTTAATGAAATATTATTCAATATTACATTTAATATTTTAAATTTACTAAATGGCAACTTCATCATTTCAAATGTGTAATTACAAATGTATTTAAATACATGACGTGCAAGATATATAGTAGCCTATATTTTCATTTACACATTACACTTGAACCAAATATCAACAGATAATAGAATTATGTAATTACATGTAAATATATACATACTGTAAGTCCTATACTTAAAGTTCAGCTAATTGCATTTAATATGAATTTAAACTATTAATAAATGTGTTATTTAATTGAAACGAACATGTGCATGTAAACATTACATTCAGTTTGCACTTAAATTCTTTTGAAGAACATTATTTCTGTAATATGTACTCTGTTTGAAATTATGTTAAAGTATACTTTTTCCACAAGGGACATAATGTGACTAGCTTTTGTAGAGGAATCTGATATGTTTTGTTTCTTTATGGTACAATGATTCATGTAACAAAGTTTTAGCACAGCGAGAATTACATTACATTTTGTATGTGTGTGTGTCCACCTCAGCTGCGCCATGGTGACTGGTTTGGGGGCAAAGCAGTCGGGTTGGTCATTGTAGACGTTTCTGGATTAAAGGCGCACGTCTATGTTACTCATGTAAGTCGCTCTCTCTAAAGTCTGGTCTGGCTTGAATAGGTCTTGAGGTGTGTTCCTCATGGTCACTCGGGTTTATTCATGAGTAACTGGAGACGATGCACCTTCAGTAATGATACTGCTGTCTTCTCAGTTACATGCAGAGTACTCCAGGGCTCGAGATGAATACCTTCCCCACAGAATAGTGCAGTCGTGGGAAATGCTGCAGTTCGTGCGGTAAGAGAAAGTGTGTTTTCTAAATGTGTCACAGAGAAAAGAGGTCACATGCTTTTAGTAAACTCCCACCGTGCGGCCTCTTTAGCCACACGTCCTGCGGAGCAGATCTGGTGGTTCTGGGAGGGGATCTGAACATGCACCCTCAGGACCTGGGAAACCGTCTCCTCAGATCCCACACTGGGCTCAGAGACTGCTACACTGAAACAGACACGTTTGATGTGAGCACACTTCATGTTGCATGCTTATTCAGCTTGTTTGTGTGCCCTGTTTTGCTTCGAATCGTCACTTTGTGTTGCTCTCGGCAGGGCTGTGAAGATGGTCACACACTAATAGCAGACAATCACTTCACAAAGAAGCAAGATCTTGTTCCTTTTGAGAAGGGCATCAGAATTGACTACATTCTCATGAAGGTAAAATAATCTCAATATTCTGTATATAGGACTACACACATTTTTGTTGAAATAAATTAATAGTTTTATTCAGCAAGGATGCATTAAAGTGATTAAAAGTGGCAGTAAAGATGTTTATAATGTTGCACAAGATTTATATTTCAAATATTTGCTCTTCTTTTGAACCTCCTATTCATCAAAGAATCCTGAAATAAAATGTTACTTTTTTTTTTTACAAAAATATGAAGCAGCTTAACTGTTTTCAGCATTGATAATAATAAGAAATGTTTCTTGTGCAGTAAATCAACGTACAGTATTAGAATGATTTCTGAAGGATCATGTGACACTGAAGACGAATAATGATGCTGAAAATTAAAATTAATTGCATTTTACAATATATTCAATAGAAAATTACAATATTTTATTTATAGAAAAGAGTTATTTTAAATAGTAAAAATATTTCACTGTATTTTTGATCAAATCAATGCAGCCATGGTGAGTAGAAGACGATTCTGTTAAAAACTTTTAAAACTCCACAAACTTTTGAACAGTAGTGTATGTGTAAGTTTACACGCTGCTCTTTTCCATATGCCATACTCAACATTAGTGTTTATGTTTGTTCTTTTTCTTGTGCAGGGTTCTCAGAGAGTGAGCATGAAGTGTGAGTCTCTTTCCACCACCAAAGGTCCAGTGGCTGATAAACCCTTTCCATATTCTGACCATGAGGCTCTGACTGCTGAACTGGCCCTTCTGCGCTCAGAGGACAGCAGACAGCATGGATCAAGCGACAGTGAGTACTCAGCGTTGTTCTCAGAACAGCAAAAACAAGCATTTCACATCAGTATAACAAATGAAACCCTGCTTCAGAGCAGTTTTTATGCATACCAGGCCCGGACTGGCCATCGGGAGCACCGGGAGAATTCCCGGTGGCCTGGCGGCTGATTTGGCCCGCTGCCCTGTTTTTTTTTTTATTATTATTATTATTATTAAAGGGTTAGTTCACCCAAAAATGAAAATTCTGTCATTAATTACTCACCTTCGTGTCGTTCCAAAACCCGTAAGAACTTCGTTCATCTTCGGAACACAATTTAAGATATTTTTGATGAAATCTGAGGGCTCTCTGACCCTCCCATAGACAGCAAGGTAACTACCACGTTCAAGGTCCAAAAAAGTATCAAGATGATCGACAAAGTAGTCCGTGTCACATCAGAGGTTGAACTGTAAAGTCACGAAGCTACGAGAATACTTTTTTTGCGCAAAGAAAACAAAAATAACGACTTTATTCCACATTTTCGTCTCTACTACGTCACTTGTGGACGCGCGTTCATAAAAGTATCATGACGCGAGCGTGTGGCGGCGCTGACCCAGATCCGGCGTGATGACGTTATTTTTGTTTTCTTAGTGCAAAAATGTATTCTCGTAGCTTCGTAACTTTACAGTTGAAAGTTCAGAAGAACAGCATTTATCTGAAATAGAAGTCTTTTGTAACATTATAAATATCATTATCATCACTTTTGATCAAAGACCCCCCAAAGCTTTTTTTTTTTTATTTCAGATACATGCTGATCTTTGGATCTTTCTATTCGTCAATGAATCCTGATGTACTCAAATGTTTTAAATATTGATAATAATAATAATAAATCTTACTGTTCAAAAACTTTTGACTGGTAGTGTATATTTGTATGAAACATAGGTTTGTTAAATCTAGTGTATTTGAGTCATTTTAAGATAAATAACATTCTGTGGTAACAAATTGAAATGTGCTGGTTGTTTTCAACAAGGTGGACACAGTTCTGCTCACAACAGTAGACCTGCTGGTGAAGAAGTGACAGGTAAGAAAAAAAGGGAGAGAGAGATATTGGGGTAAATGAAGAAAAGGGAAAGGGAAGTGAATTGGTGCAGTTCAAGAGAGAACCTTTAATTATTTTCCATGGCCCCAGACTAAGGATTTAGACCTTTTTATGTGATGGCCATACAAATAATAGGGTTGTCTGTGGTTTCAGAAATTGTTGTGGATATATAGGCTATATACAAAAAATAAAAAAATAAAGTGCCCAAAATTTTTGGGGTACAACAGCTTGTCACTGGAATAGGACCCTTAAAAGGACATCTTTGTTCCTTTTTTACCCCTAATAGGTAGGCCTACACATTAGTACCTTAAGGGTACAAATTACTACTCTAAAGTACTAATATGTACCTATTAGGGGTAAAAAATTTACAAAGATGTCCTTTTAAGAGTACTGCAAAAATAAAAAAATAAAGTGCCCAAAATCGCACATTTTTGGGGTACAACAGCTTGTCACTGGAATAGGACCCTTAAAAGGACATCTTTGTTCCTTTTTTACCCCTAATAGGTAGGCCTACACATTAGTACCTTAAGGGTACAAATTACTACTCTAAAGTACTAATATGTACCTATTAGGGGTAAAAAATTTACAAAGATGTCCTTTTAAGAGTACTGCTCCAGTTACAAGCTGTTGGTCACAATTTTGTCCCCTTTTTTTCTGTGTGGCCTGGATGAGCGTGAGATTTCCCGGTCTGAAATTACATCCCAGTCCGGCCCTGATGCATACCACCAACACACTCTCATGACAACTCTTAAAAGGATAGTTCACCCAAAAATAAAAACTACCCCATGATTTACTCTCCCTTAAGCCATCCTAGGTGTATATGACTTTCTTCTTTCAGACGAATACAATCGGAGTTATATTAAATCTTCCAAGCTTTATAATGGCAGTGAATGGTGGTTAAGATTTTGAAGCCCAAAAAAGTGCGTCCACTCCATCCATCATAAAAAGTGCTCCACACGGCTCCAGGAATAAATGAATAAATGAACTCTTGGTTTTCTTGTTACATAATCATGTTGGACTTCAACACTGAAAATGGAATTGCAAACAAAAGCTATATTTGCCAAAATAATTGTCTTTACAGTAACTACGCTATACATTTCATGTGTTTATTTGAATTTAATGCACAGCATATGTATGTGTTCCTATAACAATTTACACTAACTTTTCTTTATCCGATAACAACGAGACTTCAGGGAGTTAAAAAGCTACCAAAGCATGATTCTGGTGGTGCACAGATAAATGTTGGTAGAGCGACGTTTACTTGTGAGCCAGGATTTAGATTCATATAAGAGAGATGGAGGAATTTTGTGTCAGTTGGCAAAAAGGAATGTGGGAAAACTGGACTAACTACAGGATACCGGATATGTGATTGTCATGAGTGTTATGGTATGCACTGTCAGTTTCACTGGTTTGGGGCGTGTTTGAGATAGATCAGAGCGACCCATCCTTCTAATATACAGTATAAAGTTGATTTATTGAACATGACGAGGCCATAAGTGCAAACGTAAAGAAGTACTGATAAAGACTGTTAAAGAAACACTGTCCAAAATGTACACTTTTTTCATTTTTTTTTTTACATATTTTTAATGTTACAAAGAAAATATATTTTAGATTAATGCTATTCTTTTGAACTTTCTATTCATTAAAATGTATATTTTCATGATAATATCATTTATAATTAATGAAAAATTAGAAATGTTTTCACGAGCAGCAAATCAGCATATCAGAATGATTTCTGAAGGCTGACACTGACGACTGGAGTAATTCAGCATTGCATCACAGAAATAAATTACATTTTAAAATATATTAACATAGAAACCAGTTATTTTAAATTGTAATGATATTTCACAATATGACCGTTTTTACTGTATTTTTGATCAATTAAATGCAACCTTGGTGAGCATAAAAGATTTCTTTCAAAAACTAAATTAAAATTTTACCGACCCCAAACTTTTTTTGAAGGGTAGTCTATGATGTCACGCCCATCAATGTGATGTTCAAGAAAGCTCAAACCATTATTTTTAAAGAGATAAAAAGTCACAGAATCTGCAGGGATGACATATGGAAGAAAATATGATATTTGGATTTCAATGAAAGCAAACTATAGGTGTAATTCATTGTTATTCTCTATCGCCCTGTCTTCCTCCAGCACTGGCTGTATCAGAGCAGATGGACGTGGTCACAGAGGCGCGTGCGGTGGTGAAGGAAGGCCTGTGTCAGACCGAGGCCCTGCGGGACAAAGCCATGCGTCTGATGTTCGGTGCTCTGCTGTCACTGCTGCTGCCGCTGGCTTTGGCCTTCCTGCCCTGCTCCTGCTCCTGCTCCTTCAGCACCGTGGGGCTTCTGGGAGCCGTTTGCATGGGCCTGCTCCTCTCTGGAGCTCTGCTCTACCTGCTCTTCACCACACACATCAAAGTCCTGAAAGAGACTGAAGACCAGATGATGCTGACCTCTAATGACCTCCAGACTAAACTGACAGGATGTCGGCTGTCTGGATCTTCATCCTCCGATGGTCCTCCAGAGCTCCAGCCGCTGAGTCCTTCTAAACGGGTTGACCCGTAAGAGCTGGTTCTGGGTCAGGTTACTGTACCTCAGTGTTACATAATAGCTGTTAGGAAATAACTTGAAGAGCTGATCCGAGAGCAGTGCTCTGAGGCTATACCTACCTCAACTCAGTGAATAGACAGATTAATCATCACAGAGCTGCTGCTCTTCGCATTTTAACGAACTGAAAATCTTGAAGGCTGAAATGTAAAGCCCTGTTTGTTTCCGTGAGGGCGAGTTATTTATTTCTTTGCTAGTCTATGCCTGTTAAGACACTCCGAACAGTGTGCTCTCTGATATTTTAATGTAACTCAAAAGAGACTTAAGTCAATTTTTTTAACGATTTGTTGTTGAGGTATTACTAGACCACATTTTAGGCATTATAAACACTGTTTGAATGTAATTTCATCATAATCATGAATAAATAAATCACTATTCTGAAGCATTTTCATATTTACTGTAGGGTGTTTTAAATAATTCACCCCCTTTCCACAAGGTAGTGCTCTTGCTCTTGCATGCAAGAGCATAAACGGTCAAAGGGTCGGTAGAGGTTCTGTAGGCAAAATAAAACAAATATTTTGCCATTGTTATGAAATTAAATTTGTGTGATTAATTAATATCTGGCTTGTGGAGCTGAAAAGTGAACAATAACAGTTTAGTTTCTGAGTATATTCTGTAGCCTTTTAGCCAACATTTGTTTTCTGTGGTTAGCAAGCTATTTTTATTTTTAGCTTTCATTTTCTTCCAAAGAAATTCTAAACAGTCGGCAACAACAACTTTAGCTTTCATTAAATTTGAATAAATAAATAAATCTTACCTCTTGGACAGTTTACATAATATTTTTTAAAGCCTAATATAATGTCATATATCCATGCATAATAATTAAGAGGAAAAATATTATCGTAGTTTTTGATCTATTTTAGCAAATAGATTTGATTAGATAGATTTTTAAAATAAGTTTTTCTGCAGGACGCATTCATATTTTATGCCAAGCCTAATAATGCTACATCAGACTTCAATAGCAATTAACACAAGAGAAGATTGTGGTTTCTAGTAGGTTTTTATAATATTTAAGTACTTTAGGAAACCATTACCATAACAATATTTAAGACAATAATTAACATCTTAGCCCTTTTGTTGCATAACAAAATAGTACTAGGAGGAGTAGTATTTCTGGGAGTGGTTGTAAAAGAAGGGCTAATTATAATATAGAGTTACAGCACTTGTTGTGTGTTTGATCATCACAGCAGTTATACACTGCTTTACACACTGAAGCATGTACAGTTATACTGTGTTGTTCTGGTGAGTGAATGTCAGACTTTTGTTGTACTGTAGAGTTGGCTCCTGCAAGATCTGTCACTGAAGTGTGATGCCAGAGACTGAGCACTCAGTCATTAACATCTCCCATCATCCACACTGGAGCATGAGAACATTACACTATCCAATAAACGCATATCACACTTTAATGAATATAACAAACCTGTTTCTATGGATAGGCAGAAATAGTTTAACCATAATTCTGGAATTCATAGACAACTATCACACGAGGCTGCAAGCAGACATTGATGCAACTCATGATATCACTGCTATAATTAAGGGTTTGTAAACTTGGAACGTAAGACTTTTGCGAGATAACTCAAAATATATTTTTGGAACGCAAGACTCTTGCGAGAGAACTCAAAATATCTCTTTGGAACGCAAGACTTGTGAGAGAATGCAAAATATATTTTTGGAACGCAAGACTCTTGCGAGAGAACTCAAAATATCTCTTTGGAACGCAAGACTTGTGAGAGAATGCAAAATATATTTTTGGAACGCAAGACTTTTGCAAGAGAACTCAAAATAACTCTTTGGAACACAAGACTTGTGAGAGAATGCAAAATATATTTTTGGAACGCAAGACTTTTGCGAGAGAACTCAAAATATATTTTTGGAACGCAAGACTTTTGCGAGAGAACGCAGAGTTTCTTTTTTTGGAACGCAAGACTTTTGCGAGAGAACTCAAAATATCTCTTTGGAACGCAAGACTTGTGAGAGAATGCAAAATATATTTTTGGAACGCAAGACTTTTGCGAGAGAACTCAAAATATATTTTTGGAACGCAAGATTCTTGCGAGAGAACTCAAAATATCTCTTTGGAATGCAAGACTTTTGCGAGAGAATGCAAAATATATTTTTGGAACGCAAGACTTGTGAGAGAATGCAAAATATATTTTTGGAATGCAAGACTCTTGCGAGAGAACTCAAAATATCTCTTTGGAACGCAAGACTTGTGAGAGAATGCAAAATATATTTTTGGAATGCAAGACTCTTGCGAGAGAACTCAAAATATCTCTTTGGAACGCAAGACTTGTGAGAGAATGCAAAATATATTTTTGGAATGCAAGACTCTTGCGAGAGAACTCAAAATATCTCTTTGGAACGCAAGACTTTTGCGAGAGAACGCAGAGTTTCTTTTTTTGGAACACAAGACTTTTGCGAGAGAACTCAAAATATATTTTTGGAATGCAAGACTCTTGCGAGAGAACTCAAAATATCTCTTTGGAACGCAAGACTTTTGCGAGAGAATGCAAAATATATTTTTGGAACGCAAGACTTTTGCGAGAGAACTCAAAATATATTTTTGGAACGCAAGACTTTTGCGAGAGAACGCAGACTTTTGCGAGAGAATGCTAAATATATTTTTGGAACACAAGACTTTTGGGAGAAAACGCAGTTCACTCAGTAAATCATTGAAAAAAACAGGTTATCTCTCTCACTCTAATGGCGCTTTTCCACTGCGTGGTACGACTCGCCTCGGTACGGCTCAGTACGGCACGGCACGGTTCGGCTCGGTTTGCGTTTCCTCTGCAGTTCAGTACCACTTTAGGGTGGGCGGGATTATTCACATGTGGTTATAGTTGCGCCGCCTCTACTGCCACGACTCCTAAAAAAACATTTTCATTCCGCATCGCCCCATCAAGCTCTCGCTGGTCAGCTCCTCTGCTATCAACGAGAGGAACGTCTGTTCTTCCGTAACAGACAACAAAACTTTTTGGTTGTTAAAAAAGGTGCGCTCGTTCAAAACAGTTGCGTTCGATCTTTCGCTGGCTGTGCTGATTTAAATCTAGCGGTTCTTTTGTGTTTGTGTCTCAGGTTCAGTGACGCAGGTAGTGACGATTCTCTCCGGCCAATCCGTGATCAGCAGAGTTTACACATCACGTTTTGATAAGGGTACGGTTCACTTGGAACCCCAACCGAAGTGGTACTAAAAAAAGTACCAGGTACTGTACCCAGTGGAAATCCCCCAAAAGTGAACCGTACCGAGCCGTACCGTGCCGTACCATGCAGTGGAAAAGCACTAAAAAAAATTAACCCAATGTTTCTCAGGGGAACAAAAATTTGATAACTATACATATTCCATTTATAAATAATTCATTTAAAATCAAATAAATGAATGAATAATTGAATAAATGTTCAGCCAGTTTCAGTCAATTCTTTTCAATCACTATGTACCAAAAAAAAAAAATCACAATTTTTGTGACCATGCTTGTGATTAAAAAATGATAGATAGATAGATAGATAGATAGATAGATAGATAGATAGATAGATAGATAGATAGATAGAAGACAGAGAGACAGATAGATAGATAGATAGATAGATAGATAGATAGATAGATAGATAGATAGATAGATAGATAGATAGATAGATAGATGATAGATAGATAGATAGATAGATAGATAGATAGATAGATAGATAGATAGATAGATAGATAGATAGATAGATAGATAGATAGATTGATAGATAGATAGATAGAAGACAGAGAGACAGATAGATAGATAGATAGATAGATAGATAGATAGATAGATGCTTGTGAACTACAAATGCGCTATTAAACCGGGTTGCTAGGAAACGCCAGGTAATTGACAGGTTTAAAGAGTGAATGTGGACCTGTGATTGGTCCGCAGCGCGGCACATCAGATGGGCGTGACCTTAGGTGTGGTTCTCCACTGAAGAGCACAGACTCGCTACAGCCGGACTGAGAGCAGCGATGACTGCCGAACCGATTCGCTCGGCTCGGGGCACTGTCTCTACGGAGGACACCTCTCTGGTGCTGCCCTCCGACAAAAAACATGGGACGGGGCAGCAGCGCGTGCTGGAGCAGGTTAACACCATAAAGAGAGGCAAGTCGAAGATGGTCAAGAATGACTCCATTCCGTCGCCAACAAGTAAGTGCGCTGTTTATATGCACACAGGCATTAGTTATAATACCAGTGAGACAGCGTGAAATAAATCTTACGACTTTAATAAACTTCACTAACAAGGACTGCATGCTTGTTTGGCAGTGTCTGCATGAAAACTTTTTTTTTTTTCATTAGCAAGTTCAAGCAGGTCTTTGAAGCAAAACTGCATTCATTTGTAATCAATATCTCAGACACAAGAGTTTTTGACAGGGGTGTGTCTCAAAGCCATGTGAACTAGAAGCCTACCTACACTGCGTTTGTGGGTCTGATATAGCCTACACACATCTGATCCCATGCTGCAAATACAGTGCAGTATGTCGAAGTGCAACATTTAATCTTACATTTAAGTATGTTTCTGTGTGAAGTCAATGAATTCCAGGTCACTGTTTCATAACAAATGACTGTAAACATAATCATAGCACGCATTGTGTGATATAGTTTAGTTGTGTTTTGAAATCCTCATGATTTATTAATGTTCCATTTGGCTGGAAGCAAGTATAAACCACTTGCAGTCTACTGTGTGGCTATATTGTGCAATGTAGTGTAGAATAATATTAGTTTTCAGTAAACAATTGAGACTTGTAGTAATTATTTATTAAAACATGTTTCATTGTTTATTCCTTTGGGCGTGCAACACTGCTTTTATCTCTGGTAAACCTTTAGTACGAGTTGTAAACACTCGACAAGTACTCAAAGGTCAGCAATATTGAATTTTCAATAAACATAATTATTGATAAAAAAAACCTTGCATCACAAAATAGTATTGTAAGTACACATGACAGCGAAAACTGCAAGAGAGCAAACGTTCCCTTGAGAAAAAGAATTATGCTTTAGCATACTTATACAAAGAGTACTTATTATGGAAAGTATGTAGCTACTTTAAAAGAAAAAGAACTGAATGTAATGTTTTCAAACACTTGATTGCATGTTATTTATTGAACAGTTCAATTTATATTAAGTGACCCACTTTAGTAGCTCATTTTATGTAATGTCATAATTAATTCTATTGTATTTGAAATATAGTTAAAGTGTATTGCTGAATGTACTGAAAAGCGTATATGATCAACTAGAATATACTTTAATGCCACTCCTTTGGAAATTACGTCATGTATTTAAATATATTTGTGGACACCTCTCTGGTGCTGCCCTCCGACAAAAAACATGGGACGGGGCAGCAGCGCGTGCTGGAGCAGGTTAAC